TATGTAGCCGAATGGTAAGAGTGTACCATGGTGGGATGATGAATGTGAGCAATTGATATTAAAAATAAGAGAATCAATTAAGAATTACATTGAAAATAAGACGCTGGAAAACTACATAAATTGTAATAAAGTAAAGGCTTTTGTGAAAAGGCAACTTCAAATTAAGAAAAGGATGAGTTTTAGAGCATTTTGTGGGACCCTTAATCGAGATACACCAATTTAATGATATCATAGAAATGAGTAAAATTCCTTTTGAATGGAAACAAACATTAATATTACCTTTTTTGAAACCTACTAAATGCCCAGATAATCCAGAGAGCTATAGACCAATTGCCCTAACTTCATGTGTAGGTAAGGTACTGGAAAATATAATTAAGAATAGAATAGAATGGTTTGTAGAACACAACAGCATCTTATCGCAGTATCAAATAGGGTTCCGCAAGGAACTTAGTTGCAATCATGCACATACACTACTATCACATATAGTACTTAATGCATTTACTGATAAGCAGGTGGTATTAACTGTTTTTCTTGATCTAAAAGCTGCATATGATAATGTAGATATATATCTGCTATATAAAAAAATGACTGAATTAAATATTCCTAGTGCATATAATAATTTAATATTTGAATTTTTGAATAATAGAATGATCTATGTGAGAGATAAGCAGAATGAAATATTCGAACCCAACACTACCCTAGTAACACACGACGTCCTATGGACGTCCAATATACGTCCAGTTTTGGTCCGGACGTCCCTGGACGTAAAATGGACGTACGAAGTGGGACGTACTTTGGGTGGACTAAATATGGACGTTCTCTGGACGTCCGTACTCGGACGTTCTCTGGACGTCCTTACTCGGACGTTCCCTGGACGTCCGAACTCAGACGTTTTCTGGACATCCGACATTTACCAATTATGGGATCAAATAGCAAATATTTCAATAAAATAAAAAATTATTTACGTTAATAAAATAATTAAAAGCGAAAAGGTTAAATCATGATTAATTAAAAATTGTATAGTTTAATCTATCCAAAACATGTTTTTTTTAAGGTAAAGTGTAAAAATATTTTATTTCTAGATAATTCGTTACAATTGTTTTATTATTCTAGTTATCACGATGATATATGTTTGCTAATTCTAATAAGTAAAAATATGATTTTTATCAACAAGATGAATCTTGAAATCATTTTTCAAAGATGAACTAGTGGTAGTATATACTCTGGCTGAACAAAATAATGTTGATGATGTTAACTGTCATTGTCTGTCATATCACAGAACACTAATCACAGAATACTAATCACAACAAGAAGCGAAACGGAGGGCTTTTTCGCAATCCAAATTTCTTTGCGCATGTGCGAAATCGGCCATAGTGTTAGTAGTGTTGTTTATATCAAAGAATATAGACGCTTATAGAAGAATTTTTCACTTCCCGTTTAGCAAGTTGAGAAAGATTGAACAGAGTTGATCGCACGTTACAAAAAAGAAGGGAGGTGGATCGAGATGGATCGAGGTTTCACTAGGGAGCGGTCATGTCAGCGCTGTTATTGCTTCTAAAATATGAAAGAGTGGGGCAACAAATGCAACTTAGATATTTTTATGAGATGCCGCGTGGTCGTAGAAGAGGATTAAATTTTTGCATTTTATAAAAATTTTTAAAGAAATGAATATATTTTATTATTATTATTATTTATTATTATTTTAACTTTTAATAAATTAATCTTTTTAAAAAAATATGACTCAAATTTTTAATTCAAATATATACAAAAGTATAAATAATATAATTAAAACTCTCTTCTTATAAACTATAAATAAAATTAATTAAGCGGCAATCACCGGGAGAGAAAGCTCAAAAAATTGTAAGGTGTTTCGATCAAAAAACACTTCCTGATCTTGTTAGTACGCTAGAATTGCTTTTAACACATACACCAAAGAATTATTTTTTATATTGTGAAGTATAATTTCGGATTTTTAAATTAAAAAATAAGTAAGTCTCAAATAACTAATCACCAGAGCTCAACAAAGGAAAGTAGATGTGTAGAGTTCGTTCTGGCATCAAGATCGGGTATCTTCGGCTCGTGTTCGTTTTTCAAGATGGCGGCTCGTGTCCGAACGTACCTCGTGTCTCGGGACCACGCCCCTCGGTCAATAGCAACGTAGGAACGTGGCTCGTGTCTCTAGGCCACGCCCCTCGGCCAATGGTGACGTAGGATCGTGCCTCGTGTCTCTAGGCCACACCTCTCGACCAATAGTAGACATCCTCGTGACGTTAGAACCTATCCTCGACCAATGGAGGCATAGGAACGTCCTTCGTGTCTTGCTGACCAATGGCGGACGTCCTCGTGACATCGAAACGTATCATCGACCAATGGCAGCATAGCAGCTTCAGTGGTGGGAATAGCAACACCCCCAGCGACCAATGACAGCATAGTAACGCCTCCTCGTGACGTTAGAACCTATCCTCGACCAATGGTAGACATCCTCATGACTTTAGAACCTATCCTAGACCAATGGTGGACATCCTCGTGACGTTGGAACGTATCTACGACCAATGGGAGCATAGAAACGTCCCCCGTGTCTTGCTGACCAATGGTGACATAGGAACGTCCTCAATGGGAACGTGTGCATCAACGTCTAATGAGAAAGACGTGCATGGATGAATGAGGGCTCACAATATTAACGAAAAGACGCCCCCATTCCCCCAATATCAACGAAAAGACGCCCAAACGCCCCCCACTCCCCCAATAATAACGAAGATTATGTCTCAACGTATGCTAATGAGAACGATGTAATGAAAATACGCCCAAACGCCCCCCCACTCCCCCAATAATAACGAAGATTACGTCTCGCATTTGAAATCTTTATAAATATATTCTGCTATCATCAAATTCGATACATCAGACTATTCTAAGAATAATGACATCACCCGGATACGTCGGCTATTAAAAATTCCTCTCACGATATAACCGGAAACACATGTACATATTTCTAATTAAGCGAGGCATGTGTTGTGACATAAAATATATTACTGAGAATGGTGACATCATTGTCGGCTATTAAGAATTTCTCTCACGATATAATATTCACACGAACGCCGGAAAACATGTGGACGTTTTTTATATTTCTAATTAAGCAAGAAATGCATAAATGAATTTTCTCATGATTGCACAACATAGTTTTAGCGTGGGAGAGGCAGTTAGATAAATAGCAGAGGCTATACAATCATCAGTTCAATTCAGATCGTCGTGTAGACAAGTTGTGTGCAAAGTACCGTTTGGAGAAGTTTCTGTGTTTGTGGAGTGTCGGCAATTATACAAAGTAAGTTTTATAATACTTAACCTTTTTATATCATTTAGAATTCATCATTATCTTTACTAATTAATTGTCAGTTAAAAGTATAATTCCCTAATAATTATTCTGATTTAAACATTTTTATTGAAATGAAATTACTTGGTTATAATCTATGTTCTAAATAATGCGGTAATTCATGTTTCTATGGAAGTTTTGCAAATAATATTTGGAGTTCGTCATTATCTTTTCCAATTATTCTTGATAACTTTTTGCTGCATTTTATTGAAATTATTCGGTTATAATCTCTAAAAATGTTTGTAGTTTTGTGTTTAACGAAATCTAAATATGAGTAAAATAGTATTGCTAATCAAAAATATTTCATTGCTAGTCAAAAATATGTCATTGTTAAATTAAAAATATACATATTGTACTAGATAGAATTAAAAAAAAATAATGCTAGTTACAAATATTTCATCATTGTTAAATTAAAAATATACATATTGTACTAGATGTAATTTTAAAAAAAATAATATTGCTAGTTAAAAATATTTCATTGTTAAATTAAGAAACTGTATATTGTTGCAGATGGATCTAGCCAAAATTAATGCATCCTCTCTGCTTACAGAGAAGAAAATTAAGTCGATTTGTAAACTGAAGGAGCTGACACTGGGTGCGCCTTTCAAAATCGTAGCTGCTAAGTTGGTGAAGGCGAAATACGGGGAAGCAGTTTTACTGGAATTGGAGGAGAACGTGGTTTTCCTGCCAAACCGCGTAACAAAGGACTACGTTCCATTCATACCGGAATTTTCCACTAAAAAGTATTCTCTGGTATTTCGAGGAGTGGTGGACATTGGAACAACGCAGCCAGCCGCAAACTTCGAGATTATTGAGCATTAAAAATTTTTGGTGAGTTTTTTCATTTATTAATTTATTGCTTTTTACTTAATCATGAGTAATATTGGTGATCTCAGTAGTGACATTGTACAACATTTAATTAAAGCGCGAGATGTTTTGTTTCAAAATTATACACCGCGAGAAGCGAATATTTGGTTAAATCACATTAAAAGACATTTGACTTTGTTTACTAAAGCGATTCGGTGTGGGGACTTGGAATTAGCTAAATTACGGCAACTACAGACAAACGCGGGGCATTTAAAGACAATTAAATTGGAAATTCAAAATTTCGGTCTTCGCGTGGGTGGTGGAATTACTAAACATCGTCAGGTTAAATGGGAAGATGTAAATTCCGTATTCGAGAGTAGAATCAGGACGGGTATAATTATTAATCTAGGACACAAAGATTTAATGCAATTTTTCAGGGATTGTTTTAAGTTATTTAGAATTCGAATTAAGCACATTTTAAAAAAATTAAATATGATAAAATGTAATATGACATTATGTGGAGAATTTATTAGAAAATCAAATCAAGGTGATATTAACCAATTTAAATATTTTAATACCAAGAATGAAGCCATAGACGCAGGAACAGACTTGGTTTTATGGTTTCACACAAACATAATCGATAAATTAATGTCTAAGCTATCGGAATTTGAAGAAAAGGGATCAGGGTGGGCTTTGAAAAAAATTGTTTCTTTAGAAGTCAATATTAACAAATATGAAGTGGGAAATGGGGCAGCATCCTTCATTAAATTACCAATAGAGATTCAGAAAAAACATGCCTGCATAAATATCAACAATGATGATGAAGCGTGCTTCTTTTGGAGTGTCGTTTCGGCGATTTATCCAGCTAAATGCAATTCAGAACGTACTTCTTCGTATCCACATTATGCGACTGTCTTAAATATCGATGGACTAGAGACACCTATGACTATAAAGGGTATTTCAAAATTTGAAAAGTTAAATAATATTTCTGTAAACGTTTACGGGTTAGAAATGAATGTTGCTAAAGAGAAAACATTTTACGTAACAACTCCGGTAAGGCTATGCAAAACCAAATTAACTAAACATGTAAATTTATTGATTGTACAAGATAAATATTTTCCAAAATTGAATGATTATGAAGCACCTATGGCTCACGATGAAACTGTAGAAATTAAGTATCATTATTGTATGATTAAAGATATGTCTCGACTTATGTCCAGTCAGTTAAGTAAGAACCATAATAAAAAATTTTTATGTGATAGATGTTTGAATTATTTTAGTAATTTTGACAGATTAAATGATCATGCAAAATATTGTGAGAAAATCAATGAATGTAAAGTTTCTTTTCCATCATATCAGAATGTTGAATTTAAAAATCATATTTATAAACAAACGACTCCTTTTGTAGTCTATGCTGATTTTGAATCAATGTTGCACAAAGTTAAAAACAGTCCATTAAAATGCAAAACAATTAAGTATCAGCAGCATAAAGCCTTTAGTGCGGGTTATTACGTAAAATGCTCGTACGATGAATCTCTGTCGTTTTACCGAAGTTACGCAGGTGAAGATTGCATGGAGTGGTTTGCCAAGGAAATGACGTTGTTGGCGGCATTTGTGCAAGGAAAAATTAAAGATATTGTACCTATGAATGTCACACCCAGTTTTAATGCATCTAATTGTCACATTTGCGAAAAAACGTTTTCAGATAAGGATGTAATTGTTCGTGATCATGATCATTTTACCGGAGATTTTCGAGGATTCGCACACCAAGTGTGTAACTTAAATTTCAAAAAACTTTTCGTTGTTCCAATTTTTTTTCATAATCTTAGCGGTTACGATTCGCATATGATGATTAGAGATCTAGCGAAAAAGGGGAGTATCAGCCTACTACCAATAAACAAGGAAAAATATATTTCATTTACAATAAACGATTCTGAATCCAGCATTAGGTTGAGGTTCGTTGATTCACTGAGATTTTTAAATTCATCATTGGACAAGTTGGCTACCACATTGCAACCTGAGGATTTAAGATTTTTAGCTAGCGAATTTCCAAATACCACTCCTGAACAAATGGAATTATTGAAAAGAAAAGGCATATTCCCATACGAATATATTGATTCATTCAATAAATTGAATGAAACGCAACTACCATCAATTGATAAATTTTACAGCTCATTATCGGGTGAACACATCTCCAAAAATATGTATCATGATGCTCAGAATGTTTGGCAGTCATTCGGTATTAAAAATATTTTGGAATATAGTATGTTGTACATGAAAACTGATATTATGTTATTGACTTGCATTTTTGAAAATTTTCGACAAAAATGTCGAGGTACATACGGTCTTGATCCCGCCTGGTACTATACCATGCCTGGATTTTCATGGGATGCAATGCTAAAGTATACTGGATGTAAACTTGAACTACTGAATGATATCGATAAAATCATGTTTATTGAGAAAGCTATCCGAGGTGGCATAAGTCAAGTAAGTAATCGATACTCTGAAGCTAATAACAAATACATGCCATCTTACGATTCCTCAAAGCCCAGCAAATATTTGCTATATTTAGATGTGAATAATTTATATGGTTGGGCAATGTCTCAATATCTTCCGTATGGTGGTTTCGAGTGGGTTGATACTAATATTGATGTCTTGTCTATTCCTGACGATGCTTCAGAAGGGTACATACTACAAGTGGATTTGGAATACCCAGAACACTTGCACGACTTACATCGAGATTTACCGTTTTGTTGCGAACATCGTGTTCCACCAAAAAGTAAGCTTCCAAAACTTATGACCACCTTGTACCATAAAAAAGAGTACACCTTGCACTATCGCAATCTAAAACAAGCTCTGAATGCAGGACTCAAACTAACAAAAATCCATAAAGTGTTGAAATTCAAACAGAGCGCTTGGCTTAAGCCATATATCGATCTTAATACAAAATTGCGAACTGCAGCAACAACGGCATTTGAGAAAGATCTTTTTAAGTTGGCCAACAACGCCATTTTCGGTAAAACGATGGAGAACATTAGGAAACATCGCATTGTAAAACTTGTATCAAAATGGGATGGAAGATATGGAGCCAAAAATTTGATTGCTAGTCCACGATTTCATAATAGAACCGTGTTTGACGAAAATTTAATGGCGATTGAACTTAACAAAACAGAGCTCATTTTCAACAAACCATTGTACATCGGCATGTCAATTTTAGATATATCCAAAGTGTGTATGTACGATTTTCATTATAACTTTATGCTACCATATATGGGAGTTGAAAATTGTAAGCTAATGTATGGGGACACTGACAGTTTTATCTATGAATTAAAATGTGATGACGTTTACAGAGATGTTATTAAAGCAAATTTATCTAAATTCGATACATCAGACTATTCCGAGAATAATATTTATGGAATACCTCAAGTCAACAAAAAAGTTCTCGGAATGATGAAAGATGAGGCAAACGGTCGCATTATGACTCATTTTGTCGGACTTAGATCTAAAATGTATTCGTTTAAGATTAGTACGACGGATGAGGATCGAAAGGCATTGTTGGATAAATACAAGAATAATATGGATGATGCTAATATTGAAAGACTTGCAAATAATTTAGGTGTCGCAAAAAAATCTAAGGGGGTAAAATATTCAACTGTAAAAAATGACATTACTTTCGATGATTATGTTAAGTGTTTAAACGAATTTACAACTAAAAGTGTTTCCCAATCAACGTTTCGTTCCTACGCCCATGATCTTTTTACAATAACACAAGAAAAAATTGCATTAAGTCCCTATGACGATAAACGTTACTTGCAACAAAATTCTCATGACACTTTACCTTGGGGTCATTATGAAACCACAATGATTGAGTAAAAACAAAAATTAATAAATGAAAACATAACCAATTTTTTATAGCTTTATCAATCTCCACAGGAAAATTGCAACAAAATTCTCATGACACTTTACCTTGGGGTCATTATGAAACCACAATGATTGAGTAAAAACAAAAATTAATAAATGAAAACATAACCAATTTTTTATAGCTTTATCAATCTCCACAGGAAAATGGATCAGCTATTCTTTAAATGAATATGTAGAATAATATTTGTAATTTTGTTAAACATCAATTTGTAATATAAGTAGAAAATAAAAAACTTTAAAAAATATACATTGTTTTCCTATAATTTTAAGCCTCAATCTTTTACAGCGTTGTGAGACATTTGACGTGAAAATAAAAGACATCTTTGCATAAATATATTTATTTTGATTATTACATAAAATCATTTACAACTTTAATTTTATAATAATATAAATATTCTCTTAAAGCATTACTTAACAAAGTGTCTGAGGAAATTTCACAAAACGCAGTTAAAGCTTCAAGTGGTCCATATAAACTGCTTCTGCTGCAAAAGTTTGATTTTATTATGTCGACAACATTTGTATAATAAGCATGAAATTTTAGAGTGCCCAATAACGATACACGATGAGACACCAGATTGCGATCCGCTTCTATGATTTGGTTAACGTCACCTTCTTCTAGATAGTATTCAACACCATGTTTTTCAACAACGATAAATTTAGTTGTATCATACACTACTTGTTTAATTTTACAATAGTCTCCACACTCGAATGTTACTGGACTTGTAGGTTGATCTTTCAGAATTTGAATAAACATCGCAGTCATGTCAGTCCACTCGGATGTATTTAAACTGATTTTATTAAACTTGTTGTGCTGACACAAAATAATGGCTGGTGAGAAATGGCGAGCTGGAGAAAGGCCAACTTTGATTATACAGTTGTCAAGCGGAAAGGATGCTTCTAGTAAGTAATACGGTTCATTTTTTGCTGCTTCTTCGAATCTCGCCAAAGCTCTGTCTATGTTAGCATAATAATTGATATCATCTGATGATGAATCGGCGGCTACCACCATATCGTCTGATGAACTATAACCACTATCTTGAGAACTCATATTGATGAACTGGCAGGAACAACTGAGAGTGAGCTTGCAGCATTTATGAAATTTATACTTTTTGTCACGTCACCCCCACTCATTTAGTGTATATCTACGCGGCGTATGTAAAAGTAGATTCTAAATGATATCTTTAACGTTAATCCAGCTATTATGGCTACTATCAAGTCCCAACCATTGAACATACATCTTATTTCCACGTCTGCGCAGTACTTTCTCAACTAAATAAATGTCTGTATTTTTTGTTTTCTGTAATTCTTCTTCGTAGAATGCTCCTTTGATAGGCGCTCCAGTCATATCTTCAATCAAGTATGTTGTGGGATTCGTTATTTTAATTTCAGCAATTTTAAATAGTTCTGTTGTCCAATTCGGTTTATATCCCTTATCGAAAATGTGTTTATTTTTACTAATGCGAACCACGTCACCAACTTTCAATTTTCTTGGACCGGCAATTTTCAAGTGAGTATAATATTTTCGTAAAATTTCCTTTTCGTTAGATTTATTAACATCAATAGGTCTAAGTCGAATTTTGCTGTGTTTCGTATTATTGTACTCTTTAGTAATTTGAGGCAAGATATCGATCCATTTGTAAGTTCCGTTAAGACTGAAATACTTGTAAAGTTTTTCCTTCAATGTTCGAATAACTCGTTCACATATGGCTGCTTTTTTAACACTAAAGGTATTATAGTGATTAATACTATGCTTTTTCATGAGATTTTGAAACTTGGAATTGAAAAATTCTGTACCTTGGTCTGTTTGTAAATTTTTCGGACATCGTCGAGTATGAGCGAGAATATCCGAAAATGTTCGAGTAATTTCCTCCCCTGTTTTCGTCTTTAATGGTCGAGTCCACACAAACTTTGAAAAACAATCAATTACAACAAGAATGAGCTTGTAAGATTTATTTTGACTGGCATAAGGTCTCATCTCAGCAAGGTCCATTTGCCACAAATCATCTAGTCCTTTAATGATTGTTCGTCGACGAGGATAATTTTTTCGTGCGGGCTTGTGCAGCTCGTTAACTAGTTGTATCTTCTCCTCGGTAAATGCCATGTCTAGCTTCCAACGCTTCAACTCTTTGAACTAACGCTAATTCGTTGTTCCGTTAGCTTTATTATGTAATAGGTATTCTTCCATTGCATCAAGACGAACGACTAAATCATGTGAATTAAGATCTGCTGTTTTAATTTTTTTTTCTATTTCCAACGTTTTCAACATAATTTGTGCATTTTGGTTGGCGGCATCTGTAATATTCTTCGTCATTTCTTGTTTAAATATAACAAAATCATTTTTAAAATCATGCATTTGTTTTGATAAATCAGATATTTTCAAAGAAGTCATTTTATTGTCATCAGACAACTCGTTAACTTTTTTACTTAAATTATCTTCTATTTTACTGATGGAGTTTGAGATTTTTTGTTCGAGTTGAGTATCTTTTTGATTTCCATTTTTTTGCACCAAATTAATCTCTTTTCTTAGAAAAGTTTTCGCACGAACAATGCTGTCATCTACATATTTCTTATTGGAAAGATGTATACCTGCTACGGGAGGATCTCGTTTAATATCTTTATGTACTTCATGTATCTGGTTTTGTAAATCCAAAATGGATTGCTTTAAGCCTTCACGTAGCTTTTTAACAACTTGTTCATTAGAACGGTAATGATGACGACCAAACTTATCAACACTCATATTGGAAATGATGCTCAATCTAACCTAACATTATTAATATATAATATCCGCTTCACGTAATTCGTTGATAATGGCAACAATTTCGTTATTGTGGGAGGTGTTTCCTGCTTCTTGGGAAGCAATCAGCAATTTGAGTCTGTCGCATAATTCGTTTGGATCATCCCAATATACATATTCAATAGGATTATCGTTGTAGATCAATTGAGAATCATTGACGAGCCCTGATCCTTTGGAGCTAGATGGTGAAGATAACGATGTTCGAGGAGACGTTGTTGACGATGATGAACGAGTTGCTTTCGCTAAACGAACAATACTTTCGAAAGGTGGTCTCTTTAAAGTAGATCGAGTTTTTGGTGGTGATTTCTTCGTTGTTGTATCGGTAGGTTTAAATAGCGGTTTAATAATATGATGATATTTTTTCCCAGTTGCACTTTTAAGACGACCTATGGCATCCAGGTGAACTTCGGTGCTATTTAATAGACTTTTATAATGTTTTAAATCTTCATCATTATAATCTTCGGGGTTATCATAGAAAATTAATTGGTAGAGCCCCGGCGTTCCCGGTAGATATCCTTCTCCCCCACTACCGTCACTGATGACGTGCACACTACCTTTGTTTTTGTTAAAGTTTATTCGTCGTTTACCCAACATCCAACCAAATTCATGAGTGTAAATAGGTCCATAGTTTTTATCAATTTTATTATCTTTCATCCAAAACTCTTTTATATATTTATGACTCATTGGAGGATATTGATCGATATATTCATTAATAGCCTCTTTCGAAGCATTATTAGGATCAAACATTTCATGTTCGTTAACTTGATCGGTTGATACTACATCGGGAAATACATCGTCATCGCTCTCTTCTTTTTTCACCTCTTCTTCCGTTTTGATGTCTTCCTTTTTGACATGTCTAAGATTAATAGCATGATGCAACGTTTTTGAGGATTGCGCAATATCTTTTAGAGGTTTTGCTATGGGTTTAAAGAGTTTATTTAGCGACTCGTCTTGTTCTGTTTTACCTAACTTTAGTGCTAAATACTTTTTGCGAATAACCCGAGCTAGTTCGGCAACTTTACGCTTGCGTGCAGCTACCTCTTTGTCTGACATATTGTTATACAATGAGTGTGTTTCAATCATACCTACAGTTTTATAAACTTGTCGAAGCCTTTACGATATCGTCCGTTAGAAATATCAAAATCCTTAACAATAACGAATGTACCGTATTTATCCTTCCAACATTCGGAGCAAAATTGTTTAAATTGGTCAAATGTCATGTCAGGTGAGACGTGATCGTCAAATACGTGTTTTAAATTGAGCTCATCCTGTTTAAACAATACAATAAGGTTAGCATTATCACGTAGAAGTTGTTTGCCTGCTCGACTATATGATTGACATAAGTATGCACAATCGATATCTTTATGTCTACCCATACAGTAATATTCACGTATTGTTTTTTGTGGATCCGTTGATACGTCATCAAATATGAATACTGAGTTTGGTTTAGCTTTACTGGGACTTATGACATCATCATTATCTTTAAATGGAAAATAGCCTACTTCTTTCACAGACTCCAACACTTCCTTCAAAAATTGATACTTGGGTTGAAACAACGACTTTGAATAAACGTAAACATTTGTGAATTTAGCGCCATTCGGGTCGAACAGTAATGCCAACATAACATTAGTTTTTCCACATCCACTTGGACCGCATATGATTGCACGAAAAGAATGTGGTAGCAATGCGCCATGTTTACTGGTTCTTGTCACGTTATCGACAAAATCCAAGTTTTCCACTGCTAGTGTCTTATCTTGTTGAATGACATTCATCTTGTGATTGAGATTTATTTTATACACTTGGTTATATAAAGATATTTAGGAAAAAAGCGATTCATTTCAATGTTGATCGTTCAAGGTGAAGGAGTGCTGAATTCTCTGATCAACAGTCTGCCGTTTGAATTGCATGCTCCTGGCTACCAATATCTAGGACCTGGAACTAAATTGCAGAAACGTCTAGCACGTGGAGATCCAGGGGTAAATCCGTTAGATCGAGCTGCG